CTGTAATGCACTTTGATCACTGAATGCATTCAACTACAGAGGTATTTTGCATGGCTCTAAGAGGTCATTATCACCTCAGTTAATTATATGTAAGGATTCAGACTCTGGCAAACCTTAATTATCCTTCTATCAATCTCAAGGTCACAAAAGCTTAGTAGGGCTTTAGATATTAGCAATACAAATATCTCCTTTCTGAATGGAAAGGCTGTTCTCTTTCATGTATATCTGATTTTTAAATGCTAAACACATTAGAACCAAGAAACCACCTTGAGAATGGGGAATCCTCCATGTATGTGCTAAGACCAATACCATCTTCAGACATGAATGTATGATGTTAGAAATCTGATATGGGGATGAGGCAAAAATTATCAGAATGGGGTACTTGAAACCCACATTTAATCCTAAAATATATGCCATTGGGAGAGTGGTTTGGTGCTCAGAGTATTCCAGTGCACAGGTGCCTAAATAAATCTCCTCATCCAGCACCTGTTTGAACCTCTGGGCACTGGTGTTATATGCACGCTGTAGGAATAACAACAGCTTCATTCACTCAGGGCACACAGATTAATCAAAGTCCCTTTTGTTCCTAGCTCTGAGGGCTGTGATGGCATCTCTGAAGGCATCAGCTGAATATGTACCAGGTAGCCGCTCTGTCTAAAATTCTAGGCAGCTGGAAACAACAGCATGGAGAAGGCTGTCCCTCAGTCAAGAGCCTAATGGTGAGCACTGGGCTATCTACATTATTCATGTTTTGAACAGAAATAGCTAATAAATAGGCCCTGAGGCCCAGCCTGCCTCCCCAACACCACAGACCATATTTGTTTAATCCATAAACCACATAAGCCAGTACTACCTCCCCTGATAATGTTCTTATGCTGCTGTGTCCAGACCCTGAGAAGGGATCTTGAAAAAGGTGAGCCTCACTCAGGATGGGAAGATTTGTTAGCTGTTAGGTATTCTGGTAAGCAACTCTGATGCACTCATAGGAAAGGAGAGGATTATTTGAACTTGAGGTGTTGGAAACCATTGTTAGGTATATTACACATTTTCTCTGTGGCTATGTGTGAAGTGCTTTGGGCTAAATTTTGTACCAGGAAAGAAAAGGGGAATGTAGCTACTGACTTGAGTGGGATCTGGATTAGGACCCTTGTCACTCTGTGTAAGTTTCCCATCTGGGTGGAAATTTTCTTTTGACCACACTGTTTCAATTTACAGACTTTGCATACTCAGCAGAAGTTGTCCAAGGAAAGCTTCCCAAGCTGAGCAGACTAGAGGTAGTCTGCTGCCCTTCCCAGGTCTCTGGCTCACAGCAACACCACCTTGCAGGTTGGATCTCATTCCTTGCAAAAGCATTTTGAGTTTCCAGGGCAGGGAACTACTTGTCAGCAAGGTTTTTTTGGCCTGAGTGACAGCAAAGTGTGAACTATTCAAAAACACTCTGGGAACTGCAAAGTTTTTGTTTTACTTGCCATGGACAAGGTTATAAATTCCTATGTTGAGATCACATCTCTTGCAGTCCTCTCTCTAAACAAGTAGCTCTTCAGTGGCTCTCATCATAAGGCATGATTTTGCTTGTGACTTCAGATTTTTACTGTAAATCAATTAAAAGCTAAGCATAATATTCTGTATCCCCCTGCTATGTATATAGAGTTGTGAGAAGTTTGGTAAAAAGGGAGAAACAAGAGAAAAAGAAAAAAATATCAGAACTTTGAAAGTCAGAGCAGTAAAAAAATATTCAAAAGTTTCAAGGTATTCTGATTTTTTCTCCACTTGTTATGTTTTCCATCCTTACTCATAACTCTAGGATTCCATCCCAACCCCAACCTAAGCAGTATTGACAGGAAAGGATTATCCACTGGAATTTGACATATTTACATCTACATCTAAAGAGTGCCAAAGCAAAGTCTTTCTGAGTGGAACAAAGCCGCCCTTATTTGAACTAGCTTCTTCCTCTAGAATAGCAGATGAACACGAGGGTGAGACATGGGAGTTAATTGTGTGATTAGTGTTTCCTCAAAACTTTTTTTTTTCCAAACAGGATATGCAGTAAAATAAGAAATTGCTTCTTTGGCTTTTTTCCTCTCACAGTGAAATAGGAATCACTTGAGAAAAGAGTTGTCCCCATGATGCTAAGCACAGCATCTAGTAGCATCATCTTGGAAAATATTTTGAGATGTACTACTTGCCAATCTGTGGCAGCCAAGGGAACACCTGCTCCATAAGCAAAAAAAAAAAAAAAAAAAAAAAAAAAAAAAAGCAGAGTTCTGAATACCTCCGGGGTTTAGTACTTGCATTATAAATGCAGGAATTATTGAGCTCTGCTCACATAAAGAGATTTCCAAGTTCTTTCACTTTCTGAGGATATGAACAAGCACAGAAGAATTTCTCTGGAGAAATTACATTATATTGGGAGCTTGCAATGGATTGTATACGAGAGACTCTGGAGAGGTTTTCCTACGAGAGCAAGGACAAAATACACTTTTTGTTTTGGTGTCCAAAGAAGAATTGCCCTTTGAGCATCCCTAGACTAAGCGGAATCTTGGCAAAGGAATAATTTTTTTTGCTGTTTGACCTCATGCCTAGATTTACAAATAGGTGTTCAGAAAGTCCTGAGTGTAAATATTCTGAACCAGCATGTCTGACATTGGTGAATATCTGCTCTTGGCTGGTGGAGGATGACAATGACTAAAATGCATACCCAGGAAGGCCAGGGTAGCAGTAAAGTACGAGTGAATACTCAGACGACCAACAGTGTAGCATCTCACACTGCTAAGTATCACAGAGAGCTGATATTAACCCCAAAGGAGCCACAGCTTCCCTCTCCCTAAACATCTATAACCCAAGCAGGTGATGACACGACAAATGCACCAGGGACCAGGTATTAGCAAAATGGCTAAAATGGACAGAGTAAGTGGCAGTTGCTTTTAAAATGCGCCCCGCGGTGGATGAAGGATTTTTTTGAGGCGGTGGTAGCGCAGGAGAGCATTAAACAGGGCCCACGGGCCGGTGTCGGGCGGGACCTGGGGAGAGGAGGCGGGGGTACCTGGAGCCTGTCCTTTGCCAGCTGGATGCGCCAGGCCGGACGTGTTCCCGACTCCGGTCCAGGGAGGGAATTCCGGCGGCACGGACGGACGGGCTGGCGCAGAGCCCGGCCCGCGCCGCTGCCGCGCCGCCACCACCAGGGGGCGCCCGGCGCCACGGCCCATCTCCGCGCGCTCAGCTTCGGGGAGCGGGAGGGCTCGTTCTTCCCTTCTTCCTTCCCCTTCCATCCTGCCTTCCCCACCGCTTGCCGATGCCTAAACAGCCCCATCTGTTCCTGCTCTTCTCCTGCAACATCTCGCCTCCCATCATCGCCATTGTACTCTAGGGGAGTCGCTCCAGCCCAGCCACTCCCGTCCGCAGTGCTCCAAACTGGACACAGAGCACCCTTGGCAGTGCCCAGCCAAGCAGAAGGCCCACACTGGATGTTTTTTGGCTGCTGGGGTGTTTGTACATCTCAGACAGACTTTTTTTCCCGAAGTTATTTCACCTCTCTGCAGCTTTGTTTACTGTACCAGCTAAGCTATGTCAAAAAAGGGAGTAAAACCACTAAATCACTAATCCATGCTTTAATGAAACTTCCAATGCACGTATTTAGACCACCAGATGTCCTTCTCAGTAATTTAGCTCAAGGCAGTTGTTAAATTCCCACTAGAAGAAGTCCCTGCAGATTTAGCTCCATCACATTTGCCAGCGTAGCTATTTGGGCAAGCCCTTTCAAGAGTGATCAAGTCCACAATGCCTCAGTGTAATGGTTTCTCCATTTATGAAAGCCAAAAATGAAGGCAAGTGTTAATGAACAGGCCTGATCAATGTGCCATCAATCAGGTAAGACAAATTGAAATTTGTTACTATAACAGTATGTTACTGATGAACTCCCAGTAGTATAAGGAATGCTGACAACACAGTCTGTCTTGCTTAAGACCTTCTTTACTATTTTATTACAAAGTTGAAGAATGACAGTAAAAAGCAGAATTAGGGCTGTATGTGGTCTATGAGCATTTATAAGGAAATTAGGAAATGTTTATATTGGATGAAAATGTCAAACCAGACATAAAAGTTGAGCCACCAGTCTGCCAAGGGATCCTTGTCTCTGTGCCTGCCTTCATTTCATTATTTTCAGAGAATTATTATTCTCATTTAGTGAGATAAATAATTTCAATAGCTTGCCATAAAAACTCAGTACTAGAAGTGTAATTAGTAATTCTTTCTTTAATCTTTGAGATCAAATACAGCCCAGCTGCACTGCTGGCTTTAGCAGCCTAAGTTCCAACATCATGCAGCTACTGTACAGTCATTGCATGCTGTCAGCCAGCTTGCTGCCAACTTGGGGTTATCTCAAATATCTTCACATAGAAGGGCTTGGGTGCTCACCTGCTTTGTCAAGCACACATAGTTTAATTAAAGACTTATTACCTATTTCGGTGACTTTGGCCTCAAGAATTGCGCGGATATCATAATGCCTAGACTCCTGAAATTACCCTTTCCCAAAATTTTGAAAGGCAGACATCCATCATGAGAATGGTATCAGTTGATGAGCCTTACAATCCAGCATTCTGAGCTAAGCAAAAGGAGCAGCCACTGTGGAAATATCACACAGGTTCTTTCTGAACATTATTTCTGTCCTACAAGCTCTGGGCATTGAGGAAGTCTTAGAGAGGCCTTGCTGGCAGTGTCTGGCATAGAACTCATTCAAGGCACAGATCGGGTATTTCACACTTTATGATCACCTTCTTGGGCTCCTGAGTCTGCTTGTCAGCAGCAACACCTTCATGTGACTCAAACCCTGCTTCCAAGAGCTGGCTTTTAATCACAGCAAGCAAAAGTGCCTCAACATTTCCCTGTGGGAGCTGAGAACAGGTACAGGGCTGCAGCACACCTGGTGCTTCCCCAAGCCCTTCCTTCTACCCCACTGGAAGCACCCTGGGAAACACAACAATAAGCAAGCAGCAATCAAAAAAAAAGGTGCAAAGAATATTCCAAATGTTTATTATGTATTAAAAATACTGAAAATAAGCCATACAGTTCATTTCACAGTAACCTAAACAACATTGTTTAAGAACTTGAGAAGTCAACAAAGAACAGTGCAGTTCCAACAGTGACAACAGTTACCTTAATGCCATGGCTCCCTTTTCTCTGACAGCAGTTCTTTCCTGTTTACAGTGGGAACAACACTGGATATGGTTCAGTATCCTATTTACCTAGGAGAACTCCTTTTCACCTGTGCTGTTCCCACTTCTGGGAGATGCTATTCCAAGGGATTTTTCATCTAACACAGTCAAGGATCTGTCTGATCCAAGCTGAGTTGAACATGATGCCCATGGCCTATTTCCAAGGTAACTACATGGCAGACTTCTTTACCAATTATTTGGATAAAGTTCAAAAGGAAACTTGAAAAGGAGGGATATTAGAAATCCTTTCCTAAAAGAGAGAAAACCAAAGAAGCTCCACAAGAAAATGGGTTTTAAAAGATCATCTATAGAATTATGACACTTTTTCCTCACTCTCCTAGACCAGGTCTCTTAGAAGGATCCTTTGCTACCAATGCCTCAGCCAGACACCTGGTGACAAAAATAGTAACAAGAATCAGGCACCAAGTCCTGAATACATAACAAGAGTTCAGGTCACAGTCAGCTGTGTGAAAACCTGGAAATGTATATTCCATAGAAGCAATTCTGCTGATTTCATGGTGATTTTCCCTCTTGTGTGTTTTGGAGTGTATTATTGCTGTTGTTAGCATGCTTGTTATATATGGAACACAACAGGTGCAATTTTGGTTCTCCTCTTCTCTCAAATTTGTGATGATTTTTATAGAAAAATCCCTTATCAAAGACCAAAATAGATCTTTCCAAGGAAGACACCCTAATCATGTAAACAGCCTAAAAACATGACAAAAATATTACTGTACCCTCTTGAAATTAATCCCATCCTTCAGATGGAATCTTCTGCACTTAAGCACTGATCTTCTGCACCAACAGCTGAAGATGCTGGCAATTAAGCCTGTGATCATAAAGAATGAATCTCCTAGGCCTTAGCCCCAGGCAGCGTCACTGATCTCAGACCTTGTTAGTTCCTTGGTACAGACTAAGGTCTCACAGAAATACACTACAGCTCAGCTGACCCTTGGTGAACTGACCACATGTCTGAGTCCCAAACTGCAGAAACAGATGAGATGCTGCACACCTGCTCCACTCTTCAGTTCACCACAGTGAATAGTTTAGGATAGCGTGTACCTTTGTTTCTTGAACCAAAACATCCCAGTAAAATCCTCCGTGAGTGCAGCAGTATGTTTTGGGTACCAGAACAGCCGTAGCCCTTCTGTGTGGGATATCTAGTGTCAGTGTGAAATACCTTCATGCCATTAAATATGTGCCCATGCTAACGAGGCTGTAGTTACACCACTACACTTAATAGTGGTACAACTTCATAGAGAAGATGAGCCCTTAAGAAACTCAACCCCCAACTAAACTTGTATTTTCTTAAAACAAAATTTAGGGGAAAGAAAAAAACAATAAAAAACTCCAAAAACACTACACGGAAAAGAAATGAAGGAAATAAGCATAACTGTCTCTATTATTAAAGTATTCTTATTCTCTTTGGAGGTATCAAATTTATTTTTAAAAGAGTAAAAAACAGGGCATACAAAAGCTATTCTCCTCAACCCATTATTTGCCCAAGGAGCACCACTGCCTAAATATTTTCATGTATTTTTTCTACTTTCACAAACAACCTTTCCAGATCATTCCTCAGGTCATCTACTGAGCTCTTCACAGACTCCAAGCTGTTCTCATTATTTTCAATTTTCACTGAATAGGCGACTAAACTATCCACTGCAGTTCTTAGCATTTTCAAATCAGAATCGACCTGGCTAACAGAAGATCTCAGTTCATCTACAGAGCCTTCCATAGAAGAAAACTTTTCAAGGTAACCTTGAGGATGTGTCTGACCTGCCTGAAGATTTCCTTGATCCAACAAAGTACTAATTTGCTTCTGGACATCCTGGAGAGCACCAGAGGATGGCAAGTCACTGATGCTTCTCTTTAAGTCTTCCATGTCATTGTACAGTGAAGTCTGTGCCTCACCAAGATTTTTCAGAACATCTGTGACTGAAGTTGCATCTGTATTTGAGAGTCCCTGAAGAGTGGTAATGCTTTGTTCTAGGACACTGAGCTTATTCTCATACTCTGCCTCCTTAGAAAGGAAAGATTCCAACTTTTCACTGTTTTGAGCAGCAACAGATGCTAGAGACTCTAGGCTGTCTTCTATGTGCCTCAATCGAGACTCCAGTCCTTCACTGTTCTTCCCAAAAGTTTCTAATGCTTTTCTGAAGAGTTCATTATCTTCCCATTTGTTGAGGTTGGCTTTAACTTGTAGTAAATCTTCATCAAGTCTTTTAATGTCACGAGGGAGCTGCCTAATAGAATCCTCAGCTCTCAGAACTTTCTCTTGTAAAGCTTTTAATGAAAGGTGTTCAGTGTCCGCAGCCTCTTTGAACTTCTCATGTTGCTGTTTGAGGTTGACTAACTCTTTCACTTCGGTGTACACATCAGACTCCATGGAGTCTATTGTACTCTTCAAGGTCTCTATGTCCTTTTCTTTCATTTTCATGGATGCTTGCATCTCATCAAAAGCATCTTTCAGCACCTTAATTTCATGTTTATACACATCTGCTTGTTCTAGTGAACCAACCTTTGCTTTCATATTGTTGATTTCATCTTGGCTCCGTTGCTGGACTTCAGTGAATACAGCAATGTTATCATTTATAGACTTGGTCAGCTCTGTTAGTCTCTCTTCCACTGTGTTTTCCAGAGATGTGAAGTCTCGTTCCCTTGCATCTTTCACCATGTGAATGCCATCAGACAAGTCTTTCAAAATTTCATTCTGCAGCTTCTCAAGCACTTCACTGATCCGGTTTATTTCACTCTCCCCTTGTTTAACAGCCTTCTCGCTCACCTCCTGCTTCTGCTGAACAATTTTCATCATGGATTCAAATTCTCCAAATGTGGTTTGAAGAGAACGTACCTAGGCCAGAAATACACATAGTTAATACCAGTAATTTCACCCTTTTTGTCCAAAATCCTTATAGTCCTTGTTACTAGACAAAATGATTGCATTGCAATCCTTCATGCCCCATACCTCAAGTCACCTTGTGGCATACAGATATGGGAGGCACAAAAAAACCAGCACCTTCAGCCTTACAGCTCTGTTGTACATACACCATCTGTTAAGGGTCCTTGGCCTCAATGACCTGCCACGCATGACCCAGGAAATATGTGGCAGTGAGAAAGGAACCCAGGTCTCCAGAGTCTCCATGCAGACCCCTGAAACCATCCCTCCCATATAGGATTCTTGGTTCTAAAGACCACAAGTCTTTAGAAAAAGAAGGGGGTGCGGGGGGGGGAACGACTCAAACCAAAAGAATAACTGACAACAGCTTCTCAATACAGAAAAGCTGGAATTATATTTTATCAGGCATGAATACCAAAGAACAATTCCTGATCATTAAAAAAAAGTTTTGCAGTAGACGAGGAAAAGTTAGAGGGAGAGGGGAGCTGGGATGGGCCAAGGAATGATAGAAGTAATGATATTTTGCTGCTCCTAGACACCAACAGAAACACAAGAGATTTTTTGTTGACCATTTTTTAAGATTAGAAAAAAAATTAGGAAGTCTTTAATGTTCTAAATAGTTAGCAGCTTGTTTTTCCCACTCCTGCATACACCCACACAACTGCAGTGAGCAGGTCTCATGTATGTACACACAAAGAACAAAAGCAGAGCAGCTGCCAAGAGCCTGCCTTGCATCTAGCTCAGGTTAACAGAAAGTTCCTACCACTACATCAGGCACACTATTAAACTTCCCAATTACAAAAATTACCTTTACAGCTGGTTTTAGTAGCAGCCAGAGGGAAAAGGTCAAGGGGCAAGTGGCCGCCACATTTGTTTACTCTCACTTTTAAAGGTAAGATCCAGGCCAGGGAAGGACATGTTATTTAATTTTGAGGCCAAGCAGAGCATCAGTCTTAAGACTGCAGAGAAATCTTTTTGTGCATGTGGGGGCTGTACTTTCTTAAACTTAGTAAAGCAATGTAAGAACTCCTATTGTCTGCAAGAGGAATCCATCACACAGAAAATACCTCAAGGCTTTGGCAGGATGGCAAGTGCTGAGTAATTCAAGTTGCCCTCCCTTACACTACTCCCTGTGTCTGAGGGGTATATTAATCAGCCATGCCACATGGCCTGCCATGTTTACTGATTAGATACACAGCTGGAGGGGTGGTTTTATTCCATAAATAAAAAAGAAGTATATTTTACATGGTTTTAGAAAGAAAAACACAGAGCTGCCTTTTTTTTTCTTTTCAAGTGAAGCAGGCTCCAGCAGTTCCCTGACTCAGAACCTAGATGTTATTTTGTTATTTTGTTATTTTCTAAAGACCTAACAGACATCTTCATTAGAAATTAAGTTATTTCTATGTATTTTTGCAGATCCCTGGCCAAATCCTCCTTAGTTTTCATGAAAGTCTATACTGTGCATTGATTGTAGAGTTTGGCCATGAGACTTGCCTTTGCTTTGACAGATCACTGCTGTTTGAACAATAACCACTAAGATGACTTCTTTTCTCCCTCTTCAGTAAAAGGGTTTCTAATGCCCCTACATTCCTGTAGGGGAATACAACTGTATTCTCTAGTGCTTCCATAGAAAATTAGAAATGAGCTAAGGGGAAGGGGTGGAAAAAGTAATACTGCCATACACACTGCAGCTGAGCACTAGTCATTTGACTGACTTACCAACCTCATTTTCATTCATCTTAGCTGTCATTCATTCTGATTATTTCCATAGAGAGCAGAGAGCTTTTTCTGTATCACTATAAATGGAGGTCAGAAATCTAACAGGATAACACAGGAAAGTTCTCCTCCCTCTCCTATTACAGTGACACATTTCAACCAAATCACCGAATTCATATTTGCAAGTAACTGTCTTTTTAGTCTAAGAAATCAGAAATAGCCAGAACTCTCTAGAGGGCTGGGTCTCCTCTGCCATTCTATGACTTACAAAGATGGAACCCACTTCACACAGTGAAGTACTTTATAGCTGCTCCTCCACTGCATTCAGGCAATGTTCATGGTGTAAGTTGAAGCTATTCGCCATCTGGGCCAGCCACTTGAAGAACAGAGAGCTCTGGTATAATAACATGGACTGGGGTCTTCAAAATATACCAGCTTCTAATCAGATTGGTCCTAACCGAGAGCCACCAGGGCTCAAAACAATACCCTTGCACAAGAGGGGTAGAAACTCACAGCTTCAAAGCAGTTGGTCTGTGCGTGAACCTTCATGTGAGTTTGGTGTTTTGGGGTACATGGCTGTTAAGATTTGAAGCCATAACCTTTGAAAGATTTAACATCACAAATAGTACATAAAAATGTATCTTCAGCCAATGACTACTGTTTTCCCTAACTGGTCATACGAGCCTGTGTTTAAACACCAAATGACCTTGGCCTCTCTGAGAATGGTACTATGTTAAAGACTAAACGTTCTCATCATTTCCTTTCTCCTCGATGCAGATGAGTTTATACAATGCTTACTCCTGTGTATTAACGCTTGTGTAGAATAACTCTCTAAGCCACAGAAAAGTTTACCTAGCAAGATATTAGAAGTTTAAAGCTTAATAATGGAGCTCTGTGCATTGTGTTTTAAGGCTTAAAAGTAGGTATTGTATTTGAAATAAGCAGGCATTGTTTTAACCAAAGGTACGTGTGCTTACAGTGATTGGATAGAACTACTGTCAATATGCTTTTGCTTTGTGTGATTGGTCAAAAAACTTATAAAGTAAGTTGTAACATTAAGTTCTTGGTCTGCTGCCTGGGATGCGAGCTGATGGCATCTTCCCATTGTCATAACCATGTAATGAGACTGATGCTGAAAAATAAAACAGCTCAAGGCACGTTCCACAGCAGTCCCGTCCCATTTGTACATATACCCCCAGCCGGCGATAAATCCTCGATGCACATGAGTTTATATAATGCTTACTCCTGACAGAAGCTCTCTGCAGTCAGATGAAGGGCGAAGCTACACAGCTTTGGCACTCTGCAAGAACAACACAGGATCCTACACCTTTGTGAAGCAGTGAAATACAGCAAATTCCTGTGTCACCAAACCACAGCAACCAAAACTTCCATGGGTTACATCGAAACCCTGTGATCTCTTTCTACCACCTTTAACAGCCATCTGCTATACAAAGGCAAGTAAGTTTCAGTTGTCTTTGAAACCAACTATTTATAAACTTCTGTTATATGCTCATCTCCTAGAATATGTGACACGTACTTATGCTTTTCTGCAATGACATGGAGATGGGAGACTGCAAATTGTCCATATTCCTTTGATTAGAGGGGCTTACACACTGCATGTACATCTACATTCTACACTCATGTATTATAGTTTTACATCTTTCTATTTCAGTTTCTTCCTTCTTACAGTCTACAGAAATGGCTTAAAAACCAGTAAAAAGCCACACCCTTTGCTAGTTCAAATCATTGTCCTGTCATCAGTGAATCAAGCCCCCCAGATTTAAAACTAGATTCAGACGCAGCCCTATAGCCCTGAAGTTTACAACTCCTCTCTCCTGCTGACATGAATTTTCCTTTTCCTTCTTTTTGTATGGGACAGGAAACTCCAAGACTGATGATATAATGTCCACATGTGAAGGCCACTGTGTTTCTGGAAGCACTGAACAGCCAGAAGATCTCTGCCAGTGCCTGTCCCCTCTTTGCCAGCCCAGGCCCAAGCTTGCAAGGAATACAGGGAATCTGAATGGTCTGCCATGCAGAAAGCAGTCAAGCTGAGACAAGAATTTCCTTTTCCTTGATCTGCGTCAGTCATAACTTTACACACTGTCTTCCAGCCACTTAACCTACTCCTGGGAAACAAGTTTAATTGTATGTTGATGACATGCAATCACAGATGCCATTTTTAAAGGGTATAGGCACCCTAGGATGTATCCAAGTGAACAGTGCTATTTGTGAAGCTATAGCTGGGAGGCTAATAAGGGCCTGAGTGAAAAAAATGAGGGAAATAAGCATTTATTTCACTTCACTTGAGCCACATTCTGTGCCAGCAACTTCACAGCTTTTGGTCCTGGACTGCCACTGCGAGTCTCACTCCCTTGACCAGAGACTGCAGCAGGAACGTGGGAGGCAGGGTACTGCAGCACTGTTTCTGGCACAGCCTCTGTTGTTCGGTGAAGCTCACATGAGTTTTGTTTTCTAGAGTGTGGAGACGCTAAGGCAGGATCCTGCCCGCGCTGCCACCCAGTGTCCCTCGGCGTGCACATCTGCCTACTCGACAGGCAGCGACGAGCAGTTCGTTCGCCCCGCTAGGTTAAGTGATTTGCGGGCCTCGAAGATACAGAATTACGGGCAGCAAGCTCCTTCGGAACGGCGGGTCCGCACCGCTGTCAATACCTAATGCAGCATGCGGGCTGCATTCCATAAAATGGCTTCGGGCACAGGCCCTGGAAAGGCGAGCTGGGGACTGGGGCCACCGCCGCGGGGTCCCGTCCCGCCCAGCTCTACGCTGCCTGGCAGGGATTTCTCGCTGCTCCAGAGCCACGTTTGCAGGCACGGGGAATACCGCGGCCCTGACTCCATCTGCCTCTCTAATGCCATGAAAGCATCTTTGAGGGAGCACGGAAGAGGAGGGGAAGGCAACGGGATACGTTAGCTTTCCCGCAAGACAGGCCACCCGACAGCTACCCAGCTCCTTATTTAAGGGGCGAATCCCGGCGCCCGTCCCCCTGCATGGGCGGCTGCTGCTTCCCGCCCCGCCGAGCAGCAACGA